CCAACTTGCTTTTGATTTAGGCTTTGCCTACTTTGGGGAGAATGGCCCATGGCATGCCCAGCCAATGCCAAATCTGCCCCCTTTGCATGAATTCACACATCCCTCAGGAAAAACCTGTCTGTAAAGGTTTTGCTAATGAGTTCCAAAAGAAACTTGAAACAAATTTGATTATTAACAACAGCTGAGTTGTTTTGAGTATTCTGAGCTGGTCTGAAGGCTGCAATGGGAGGTTTGTTTTCAGATGTATGATTGATAATTTAAAAAAAAACAAAACACATTCCACCCAACCATGGCAGCAATAGAGACCAACTACATCTCTGCTGCTGCTGGCTTTCATTAAATGGGGTAATATGGGTGATACAGTGGTGACAGTTACCAAGCTGGCCATTGAGAATTCTGCAGTGCTATTTTTTCTGGGCAAACAAAAGAAAAAAAACTCACAGACGCAAGCCTGATGAAATATAATATCGTGATGATAAATTTAGATTTCAGGGGATTGAATTACATGTTTGTTATGCGTTCTGTGGATAATCTGCAAAAAGAGCAAATAAATGAAGGTCAAAAATGTACACAAGGGGCGCATATGTATCTTTCTGTACATAGTATTCTGCTTCTGCTTTTAACCCTGTAAATTGTAAATGGGAAAAAATATCACTGCTAATATTATGCCAATAGTTTGGGTTGGCTTGCTGAGCTTTGATGTGTGTTTACCCTCTGTGCATGCTCTATGACTTGCTTGAAAGCTGCATTTACCATATATGTAGGTTTTGCTGGTTTGCATTTGTGTATCTACTGATGTTATATTAATGTGTCCATGCACAAATAAAGTATAAAGTTCAGATGCTTTGTGTTCACAACAAAACAAAAGCATTTAGTGCTCGTGTGGTATAGCCAGACTGCAGAAAATCTTGGCAACCACTTGATAACAGCAAGATGTTGAAGTTTTTCTGAGCTTTTGTACTTCAAATATAATATGTTTGTGTGTGTGTGTGTGTGTGTGTGTGTCACTGTCTGTGTGTAGTTTTCTCTTTCTCTGCGTTAAAATAAATGTTTAATGCAAGACAGAAAAAGGCACATGAACCCTGGAGGCCATTTCATATTTATTTTACACAGAACTTTTGTTGTTGCTGTTGTTTTACATACACATCATGCCAGCAGACAGAAGGCAAATACCAAGAAACTTGTTGGGTTTTCTTTTTATCCAAAGACACATGGCAATAAATACATTTCTTTCTCTCAAAATGTCACCTTAGAACTGTACAAAATTTGTCAACACAAGGAGATGGTTACAACGGGAAAGAGCAACCTGGGGGAGTTGCAGTAGAGGAGAGAGCTGTAAAAAATGCAGCAGCCTTGCTCTGAAGCTTTCCCAGCTTGAAACAGCCAAACCAAAAGGCAGTTTCACCTTGAGATAGTTTTTAAATCTTAATCTCCTCTCTGGGGCCCAGAGACCTGTGCTGACAGATCTACACAGCAGAGAAATGGATGGGAAATCAGAGGAGTTCAGGATGCCTCCGTAGATAACACCCATGCTCTACTTCAGATGCAGAGGAAACCCTCTTTGTCCACGGAATTAGGTCAATATCATTTGTGGTCACTGATCTCTGTTTTCACATTTTATGTTTTATTTTTTACTGTTGGCAGGAAATGCTCTCTATCTTTTAAAAAGACAATTGAAAAATCCTAGAACTAGAGACAGGCAGGAGACAACTAGTAATGTGCTTTTTTTTTCAACTTGAAGTTCAGCCATCATTATCAGAGCTCTGTGAGAAGAGAATATAAAATACAATCTAGCAAGTTCTACTAAGCTGAATTTGTTCTCAGATCATGGTTTTCAAGTATTAAAGTGCAGTAAATTAAATAGGAGAGTCATGCCGTTACCCTTGCATCGTTTTATAAGTTGCTGTAGAGATCAGGTATATGTAAAACTCCTAGAAAGGTCTTGCCTAGAAACCCCTATTATATAAGGGGCAATATTCTGTAAACTCAGATAAAACTATAGTCATGAGAAACATTAAGTGGACACGGGTAGTAAAATGCAACGATCAATTTGATCCTCTCGGTAGGGAGAGAGAAAAAATGCTATGATTCTATCTCAGATCAGTTTGGGGCAGATGATATTGTCTGTGTGAAATGATGTTTTTAAATCCTTTTAAAAGGATTTAAGTTTTATTAGACTTTGGGGGCAGAATATTTATAATTGATGCTTAGTCTTGGATGTACAAAGTATGTCTTAACAGGTAGTTTATTAGTCATTGGGTTGTTATGAAAGGTATACAGAAACCAAGATAACATGATGACTTAATGTATACAGAAGTATTCATCTTACAATAAATTCTGCCTAATAGATTAATATCATTGGTTGCAAATAAACTATCTAAACCCACCTTCCCTAACTGGGCATTTTCCTCTAGATGTGTTGGAATGTTCCTCCCATTATCCACAGCCAGCACACCCAATTACAGTGCATGTTGAAGACGACAAAGTGTAGTACTGTAATTCAACACATTGCTGGCTTGGAAGAGGGTGATTTAAAGCAAAGTCTAATGCAGGCATTCTCTATGGTGTTAAAGATGAAAACAATAAAATCTGCCTAATGAAATCTAACTAACTGTCTTATCAGCCTTAGTGCACATATGTCCAAAAGCTCTGTATTGACTTTTCTAGGAATTTTACAAAGAACTGAAAACGAGATGCATGCAGAAGCAAACCGCTGTTAAAAGTTTGTCATTCTTGCACATGTGATAGCCTGCTCATCCTTTGCTGCATCAAATCCCTCAATAAAGAGCAGATTATATCATACAGTAAGGATGGGCAAGTCATTGGGCTGCGTGTGACCATCCAAGCCATTTTATGTTGATCCCAGGGAACCTAGAAATCATGTGATTACAGTGGCAAAGAGCCAAGAAAGAGATGGAATTTTCCAAATGAAAGAATATATTACTGAACAAGTCTCTCTTAGAATTAACCCTACCCTCCAATATTTATATTAAGAAACTGTCAACCTCTTCCAAATGAAACACGTGAAATCCTAATCCTGCCCACTGTATTAACAACGCCTACCTACCTAGCATAGCTTTTGGCCAATTTGTATTTTTCAAGTAAACTTTCAGTTTTTAAAAAAGTCACTCCTCCGTGATAGAGAAAAGCATACACAGTCTGTAGAAGGTGAGTATTTAAAAGCATTTTAGACTCATGGCAATACAATTGGCTCTAGATCGTACATAAGTGGTCTATGCTGAAAAAAGAAATCTGCCTTTCTTGGTTCGGGAATTGATTGAGCTATTAAATTTCTCAAATTACTTCTGGCATCTCCAAGATGTGCATTTTTCCTTTGTAAATAGTTGTAATGCATTTAAAGGCACATCTCCATTAAGAACTCCTAAGGTTTTGTCTCCTACAAAAGACCATTGTTTTGGGTACAGCTTTTACCCAAGGCAGATCATCAGTCTGCTGGGCTCAGTACTATCCTTAAGTATCTCTCCAGGATTCTGCTGCTGGGCAACCTTGAAACTTTTGCCTTCCAAACAGGGATACATTCACTGAGCAATAGTCCTTCCCCAGTTTATTTTTTACTGCAGAGTTAACCATTCATTTGTTTTATTTTGATAGGAAACAGGTAAAGACAATGCATCAGGGGGTTGGGATTTGGATAATGGAAATTGGGAAGGCTGATGAAAGGTAAAAGGTAAAAATGAATGTTCACATTTTTTTTAAAAAAATCATAGGTTGAAGCGATACTAAGATGTACAGTAGATGTAGACAATATAGAAAACATTGATATAATATTAATTCTGATGGGAGATGTCGTTCAATTCTAAATATGTTTTTTTTTCAAAATGAAATCCCATTGAGTCTCAAAGGAACTTACTCTCAGGAAAATGAGAATAGATTGCAGCTCTATTGCAGAAAACAAAAAAATAACTTAAAGGGGCTTAACTTTTGGGGAAATCATGTATTTTTTTATTCCTTTAATTTTTTTGTGGATATATGCCATGCAAAACCTCTGCAATCTCGAAATATCCATCTATATGTAAGCTGAAGATGGCCATCTCCTTTGCCTTGGTGCTAATAAAGTCTGACAGGTGAATTTCACACTGATTTTTTTCTCTAGGATTTTCTTCTGTAGATAATGTGCTTGTGGTGGTTTGTCAATAACTGAAAAACAGCATTATATTAAATCTTTTCACATTTTAAACGTTCAAAGTAATAGGTCGTGGAAAAGCTGCTTATACCAATTTTAAATTCTTCAGACAGTATTCCAACATGGGTATAACAGATTGATCTCAATGAAAAAGTTGTGTTACTGAAATAATTGCTTTTCCTCTTGAAAAATACAAGCTCTTTAGGAATGAAGTTGCATCAGTCATGGTATATGAGTCATAGTAAATGACAGGGGGAAAAAAGTAGTTCTGAAGCCTTAAAAGGGAGATATAGGGAATGGGAATGTATTCAGGATAATGATTAAGTTGGCTGGTCTATGCAGCAAAGCAGTCATTTGTTTCTTTTGGGTTAATACAGGAGTACATAAATATTGGTTGGGTGTTTGTACTCTAAAGTTGTTCTTGTCCATCAGCTAAATTCAAGAACTTGTTTAATCAAATGTTGCAGCTTATCCTAGGGGTTCTGGCAACCAAACTAAGATTCAGTTTCCAAAACAGTGGGCATTTTAGATTTAGATAACACAGTAGGCTGCAAAAAGCTTCATGACAGAACCACATGCACCTGGAGAGAGGATAATGTGAAAGCAGAGTCCATGCATGGTCTTTTATTGTTAGAACAGCCTACTTTTCTTCATTAACTTTCATTTCCTCAATGTCTACTTTTATTATTATTAAACTATTGGAAGTAAATTAAAGACTGATTCTAAATCAACTACAATCGCTCAATTTTGATGAAAAATCAGACTCCTATTCAGAAGCATGGTGAAATCATTTCATATAAAGGAATATCTATTTTAGGTTTGCATGATTCATATTCTTGGGTAAAATACAACTCATTAGTCTTGTAAGTAACTTGCAAGCTCCCTAACATAGAATCTGGGGGGAGAAACAGTTTCAGCTCTTCCTTTCCATATAGAATCTGGAAAGGAAAGCAGTTTTATCAGAACAGCAGAGTTCCATTTTACTTATGAAATATATTCTTCACCTGATTAGATTTTGGAATGGCAGCCATGCAGAACAGTAAATGGACCAGACACACATTTATGCTATCTACAAGGTATGTTGGAATGTATTTACTTCGGGGAACTAGTGATTTTCCACTTTTTTTTTCTCTAGCAAAAATTGTTTTGCGGGAGGATAAATGATAAACACTTTCCAACATGGCAAAATGAAAAACAGGCATTGATCTGAACCTCTGCAATATGATAATTTGCTGTGTGCTGCCCAATCTCTATGCTTTTTCAAAATTAGCTCTCAATCCATAAAAATATTTGATATAAAATTCTTTCTAGGCAGTTGGAGACAAAACCTCAGAAAACAAAGTTCAGTGCTTTGTTGATACACACATATCTCAACACTGGCTCTGTCTTATCTGTGTAAGATGTCACTGAAAAGCATTGTGCTTGGAGTAATAGGAACTCAATGGTTCTTCAGGGAAATTTGGCTCACACATGCAAAGGAATGCATGAATAAGTTCTCTAATTCTCAAGTCATACCTGTGTCACCTTGCTCATGTTACTCAGTGAATATAAGGCCATAATATTCACTGCAAAGTGTTTGAAGTTTCAATTAGTTTGTATAAGACCCCGGAGCAAAACAAAATTTAGAGTTTCAGAAAGCACTTCCAAAATATATGCTCTCCAGGCACAGAACTGCCTCAAACTTTATGTGTATGTGTTACCCTGATCTCAAATAATCTCTGAAAAGCCCCTTAGCAGCTTTCCAGTCTAATTAATGTCTTGCTTCAAATGATTGTCATGGTATTTCTCTTTCATATTTTACCTACATTATAAAACTTTTGTTTGTGAAGGCCTTTAGAATGATGTTAATCTCCTAAAAAAGGTTAATCAAATTAAACTCGCCTCCATTTCTTCAGAGAAAACTTGGGGATTGCTACAACGGTATAAGTAATGAGGTTATAAATTGCTGCATTGGTTAGGAGAATGCCATATTATATATGCTAAAAAAAAAAAAAAAGACCCAGCATTGGATTTCATGCTGGATTATAGGCATTGTTAAACTCCTATACAAATTAATTTCACGTAATGTAAATAATATTTTATTTTTCTGATCAGAATACACCTTGTGCTTAACTGGTATTCAGTTCATAGTTTGAAAGATTTTCACTACCATGAACTGACACATAAAAGTAGTAGAAGGGTGTAAAATGCCTGTAATTATCTTTTTGTTGTGGATTTTAAACCCATGGTGCATTCCTACCAGCTGCAGGTCTATATTCTTTTTTTGTTGTAGTTGCATTCTTCTTGAATGACAATTGAGTGGTTGCCCAAAAAAGGGAGCTTGCTATGGGATCCCTGATTCCTGCTATATCCAATCAGGAACACAATTATAATCCCACTGCTTACTGAGATTGAGTTGGGGGCTCTGCTGTTGTATTTTTGCTTCTTCTTCTTTCTTTCTTTCTTTCTTTTTTTGCCTCAGAGTAGCACATGGTTCACTTATCTGAGTGACAATAACAACTTTAGGAAGAATAATGACCACGCAGGGGTTGAGATCTAAAGAATCAGCAGGTCTTGCTTTTGGGTTGTTGCTGCTTCCTTGTAGCCGGATGTCAACCAGGAGAGAAGGCATCAGCAAAAGATCCCATGATCCAGTTGAAAGGCAATAACAGATGCCCAAAAGCTGTGATGTAGGTGAGAAACAAGGGCACCTCTAAGCTGCCTTACCATGTCTCCTTAATAAGGCATAATATAGAAAAGACGTTGCAGGCGGAAATAAAAGTGGGAAGGGTAAAACTGCAACCATTTAGTAACTTTCTGTCCCTTCAGTAGCTGGAAATATTGCATTGATTTCTATTGCTTAGCTGGTTAGAGTCAAGCAAATGCAGGACAACGGTCAGACCGCCTGTGAGAAGATGTAGGGTTGTCAAGGAGCAAAAATCAGTTTAGTCATTTCCACATGTGCTAGGAGCCAACTGGGCAGCCGAGTCGCGTGAAGAGTCAGTGAATTTGTCCTTGTTTTAGCTGGCACCACTAACATCATACATAGACTAAACACAACAGTGTGCTGTATTCAGAAGCAGCTCCTCCTATCAGTCCCCTCTTTCAAATAAAAAGCAAATAAAATATATATATATTTATACATTATATTATCATATTTTCTTTCAGCTTTACAGGAAAAAAAATTGTGGATTCCCCTTCTAAAATAATGGACACTTTCATTGAAGATTGATTGTTGTCCCTTATTGGGGGTGGCTTAGCACGCTTTCAGGCCAAAAGAACAGGTCTGACTATGGCAAATCTGAAGGAAGCAGAATACTTTAAAAAGGAGGATGGTCCATTTCATCAAGCCAGGAGGCAGGACTTGTTGGAAAGTCTGGATAACCAACGCTGCTTCCAGTGGAAATATCAGAGGTTGGGCCCCCAGCCATAGCTCTGAATGTCTGGCTCACCCCCTGCCCTCCATGTGCTATTATTCCTAAATTATTGTCCATTGTGTATTCCAAACCATTTAGCAATGGAGTATGTGATGGAAGAGATGATATGGAAGCTGGAGATTGTGGGATTCCATAAGGACTTCCATCCCTCAAGTCCTGATAGGATTGTCCTGTCCCATCCAGAGAGAAAGTACTGTTCAATAGTTGTCCACTAGCCACCTCACCAGCGTTGCTGTATATTCTATTGTGGCCCAGCTCTGAGAGGATTTGGTCTTCTGAAAAGAAACAAAATTTTAGTACAGAAGAAAACCTCTCTATCTGGTACACTCTGATCAAAGACTGAAAAATTCCTTTAAGTCAGGGATGAAGACTGGTAGACCTCGTAGGTATTTCAAGACTACATCTCATATCATCCCCTCATTATCAGCCATGCTGATTTGGGATCATACAAAACAGAATCCAATAATATTTGAAAAAAAAGTGTGCATTTTTCCATGCAGGGTTGTTATTTTTTTGCCACAAAGCTTTTATTTATTTATAAAACCTTTTATTTATAATACCTCAAGATTAATAATAAATCCCAATACTGAGCAATGCAGACTGCCTGGAATGAAACAGGTTGATATCTACACATCCAGCTATTTCTAAGTACTTGTAGAAAATGATTTTGACATACGTAAAATGTGGATACAGCATTTTACCCTCTACAGTGTCAAAGTTTGGCTTGCATCTTGAAAAAACACCTGACTTGACCAGCCCACTATGATATGGGCAACATTGAACTGAATTTGCACTGGCCATGGTTGATGTGCTGACGCCCTCTATAAGTGAGGCAAAATACCACCACCGAATTGTGACTGTGGGGTAGAAAAACAAACTATCCAACATATAGTGACAGAGTGCCAAAATTTAACATTTAACCAAAATGTGATGTGAATGTGCCATACAATAAATAATAATAACGCTCCCCAGATAAGCAAGATCTCCTGAACCAAAATCTGTGCTGAAGTCAATTATGAACTAACTTAAAGGCAACCAAATTTGCTCCTGATTGCCACTTGCCATCTATATTCTTTTAGTATATAGATGCTATAAATATACTTAAATGCCATATAAACCTTATAAAGAAAAAACATAAGTGTTATAACACCTCAGTGTCACAGTCACTCATGCTGTAATCATCTTCCATTTGGATTTGTTAAAGACTGTGCAGAGCCAGAAACTGGAATAATAGATAAAAATTGGAAATGGGGATAAGACCAGAAAACTGAAGCTGGGAAAAAGATAAGGGAAAGTAGAATAAATGTACCCAGTAAAAAGCATGATTGGCTGACTCCCTCAATGGGAACATTTTGCACTCAAAGTTTTATTGCAGATTTTCGCAGTCCAAAAAATCAAGATGGTGACATTGAAATTCTATTTTTTTAAGAGCATGAAGTATGCAGCAACCCCATCTAGTTCACTGCACCTTGCACAATCTTTAGACAGATGCATATACACACATTGTGCAGTCATGAGGAGTAGCACAAATTAGTACAAGTCCTAGAAGGGACTATGGGAAGATAGCTTTAAAAACTAATTAAGAATCAGGGGAAAGTCTTCTGGACCTTGGGTAAGCACAGCATCCCTCTGCTATTTATTAAAACAACCCAACTTTTTTCAGGCTTCTACATCAATCAGAAAAGGTGGCTGCTTTAAAACAGACAGACAAAAACTTTATTTTGTTTCCTGACCAATAAAAATACATTCAATAAAACAAAATCAAGTTAACTCCTAACATCAATGACTGTTGGCAACCATTTGTGAGTAAAGCTTGCACACAATGCAGCAGAAATTTACTACTTTTAAAAAGAGAGGTTTAAGCTGCTTATCTAACAAATAATGCAAATAAAAATAACCAGAGTGCCTCAGGGATTTAAATAAAAAAGGGGCAATCACCTGGTGACAAATGCACTGAATCAGTAGTTTAATGTTTAAAATATGGTCTATCTACTGATTCAGAGCATTTGTTGGCATTTCCCAGGATCTGCAGATCTTACTAGGAAAAGCGTAAGTAGCCCGCTCCTAATCTAGGACATTAGTAAACATAAATGGGAGCCCTAATCTTAATTTGCCTTAATCTTTTGTACTTCCTCTCCTGCCTACCTCTGAAGCTCAGCTCACTGTCACTAACGCCGCAGTCCTCTGCAGAGCTTTCTTTCTCATGCTTGGTGCCTCCTCTGTTCCTTTTAACGCTCTTGTAGAACTGGCCCCAACGATGTCGCCCAGCATCTTTCTTCAGGCGCTTCTCTTTGGCTCTTCTGTTTTGAAACCAGACCTGTAATCATGGTGGGGAAAAGCAGTGAGAACAAGATCATTTTCAGTCCCACCACCTGAGATTCATTGAAAAGAATTTTTTCATCATCCAGAAGATGGACAGGCATGATCTCATCTGGGAGAGAAAAGATCAAGCCCTGTTCCTGCTATAGGGTGATTGTGTGAACCTTGGTACTAGCCCTCTAGTACCCCAGTTAAAAACTGGGGATGATAACAGCTTCCCTAAATTCTACTTGTAGTAATGAAATGACAGCAACTGTAAAAAAAAAGGTTTTAGGCTAAGACATATGGGAAATGTATTAACAATTAATACCTAATACCTATAATATCTATAATATGACAAAGCACAAATATCAGTATAGACAGTTCAAAGTTTCTTACTGTGGATTTTTGGTGGGGAGAACTTGTTCAATATTAGATATCACCCATAAGTAAAGAGTTTCAGGGCAAGTCCAAGGAACTGAAATGAAGAGAAGCACTTCTTATTTAACCCTACATCATAATCACATCATTATCCAAAGTCCTGATTGATGTACAATAGGAATCACTTGGTGTATGCGTGTGCCTGGCCTTCCAGATCTATGTTGTGGCAATTGCACCCAGTGACAATTAGAGGTTCCTGAGTGCCTGTATCTGCTGCACTATTTGTTTACTGATTCGCATGCTTTCTCCAACCTTAATTTTCTAGGATGCTCTCTCTTGGTTTTTTTCCCCCAGTACCATTTTGTGGTTTTGCATAGACTTCAAGATGTGCAGCTAAGTCTCTGAGTCCCTTCAAACTGCACTAAATAGGGAAAGTCAACATCTGCAGCTGCCACTGCTAATATTAAAGGGGGGGGAGAGAGAGAGTCCCCAGCACTGCTTTGACTCTGCAGTCATAAGCCTTGACAAGCTGTCCTTCCTAGCAAGAGGTTATAGAAAGAGGACAAAGTTCCAACTCTAAGCAATAGTAGACTTTACAGCAAAGCAACTGACAAGTGAGTTAATAAAAAATAAAAGGGAAGAAAATCAGAATTATAATAGGAGAAACAATATTCAGAAAAAAATATAATACAACAATGTGAGCCTCTTACTCCTACTCTTACGTACTACTTTATTTAGATAAAGTAGATGGGAATTATAGAATCAGAACTACAGGCCTGAATAGGAAGACACTCTGTACTTTCATCTGTACTTTTACTACTAGTATTCATTTTGAATGACACCATCAGGAAGAAGATGAAAACAGCTACAGAATTCTATAGAAAAGAGAATTTACTGTTTTCCCATTTGGGTATTAAACTGCCCGGCAGAAATCCGACACAGCTATTAAAGGAGCCGTGTGCATAGAATTTATCGATTGATTTAAAAGAGTTGTATGGCCGTCTATCCTGAAACACAACTCTGGGCAGCTCACATCAGCAATAAAACCATAACATCATAAAAATGAAACTAAAATCAAGAAACAATAAAAAGAAAAGAAAAAAGAAAGCTGGTACTTCAGTCATCTCCAAGGGTGCCCCCAAAGCCCTCCATAATCTCCCATTGCTCTACCCCGATGCCTGGGTAAAGAGCCAGGTCTTGATGGCCTTCTAAAAGGCTAGAAGGGTGGGAGCTTGCCAGATTGTGGAGGGAGGATGCTCTACAACAGGGCTTTTCAACCAGTGGTACGGGTACCACCTGTGGTACATTGACACCTGGCAGGTAGCACGCGACCATCTTAGAAAAGTGGTAGAAGGGGAGGGGAATGAGCTGAATCGGTGGCAGCACTGCACAAGCCTGAGCGGAAGCGCCAGGATCAGTGCCGTTTTCCAGCTGATCGGCGCTTCTTCGGGGCTGTCAGGACTCAGTGGAAGTGCCAGGATCAGCGCCAGGCTCCAGCTGGAGTTCAGCACTGATCCTGGTGCTTCTGCTGAGCCCTGAAGAAGCACCAGTCAGCTGAAAAGGAGCACTGAACCTGACGCTTCTGCTGAGCCCAGAGGAAGTGCCGATCAGCTGGAATGTTGCAGCATCTCCAGGGTCTTGTGATTTACATTCAGATGCTTGGCAACTGATTCATATTTATGATGGTCACAGTGTCCCAGGGTCATGTGAAGTGACCAAAACCTGATACAGATGGGAGGAATAAAAACCAGCAGACGGGAGGAATAAAAACCAAACACCCTCCACCCCACCCCCACTGCCAGTCCTTAACAGAAATGCTCACAACAATGAAAACCTTGGACAGGAGGAAGCGCGCCGCCGGGCACTGTCTTGCTCGGCTGTGGCTTGGGGGGGGCACTTTTTTCAGTGCCATTGTAACTTCGAACAGCCACTAAGCAAACTGTTGTAAGTCGAGGACTAGCTGTACTTTATCATTTTTATTTTTGGGGGGGGGGGTCACCAAGTTTTTGACACCTTGCTAGGCGACTGGTGGTACTCGGATGTTGCCCTATCCTAAAAGTGTTACAATGGGTGAAAAGGTTGAAAAGCCCTGCTCTACAAAATAGGGGCAGCTATGGAAAAGGCTTATCTAATTCTAGTAGTACACCTTCATCAACCTCCCAAAGCTTAAGATTCTGAGATGTTACACTGCAGGATTTTGGCCCATTTCTTCCTACCTATTGCCAGTTAGACTTAGCTACTATGCTTTCTCAAGAGAGGAAAGGAGGTTTCTATTCAGAAGGATCGCTGAACAGTTCATCTTAGGCAACCCCATCCTTCAGCTTTGCATTCACTCTGCCACGGCTTTAAATTTGGAATGTGTTCTACATCACCTTGAGTAACTTTGAACTCTCCAAAACAATCGCTACAAACAGCCCATTGTTTGAGTTGAAGAAAAAGTCAATATTATGTCATGTGCTCACCTGTACAACCCGCATGTCCAATCCTGTCTCAGAGGACAGCTGTTCCCGCACATGTCTGGCTGGTTTGGGGGAGTTTTTGTAGGCGTTTTTTAATGTTTCCAACTGTTTAGCTGTGATGGTGGTTCGAGGCCTCTTGGCTCCAGCCTCTGAATCATCTGCAATGGAAGAGTTTCCGGTTACTTTAGAAGGTGGAGCATGAATCAGAAATCTACCTAGAACAGTGTTTCTCAACCTGTGGGTCGGGACCCCATTTGAGGTCAAACGACCATTTCACGGGGGTCGCCAAACAATGCAGTCCGCCATTTTCCCCCCCTTTTTCTTAGCTGTGCTACTCCCTTTTATTCTATTGGCTTTTGAAAACCAATAGAATAGACTCTCTTGAATAGAGTCTAATTCTGTTGGCTTTCAAAAGCCAATAGGAATTGTCCAGACTGTCTCTGCCCTGCTGAGCCCGCCAAAAGTCCCATTCTGCAAACGTTGCTGCACCAGTTGAGTAGTCCTCGACTTACAACCGGTTGAGTAGTCCTCGACTTACGACCAGTTGGGGGTCGCAGCATTAAAAAGGTTGAGAACCATTGACCTAGAAGATGTGGGGCGTTTTGAAAGCTAACACGAATGACCATAGAGCAGTTATATTTGAAAAAAAATTAGGGGTACATTTAAGTTTTTATGGATACACAGTACTAAAATAAACCAGATTTCACTAAATTAATACAAGTAGTCCTCAGTTAATGATAGGAATTAGTGACAGCAGTTCCAGGAGTCCACCATTAAGCAAGGACCATATCTGTCATTAAGTGAGGACCCCACAGGACCTCTGACTTTCTGCCAGCTTCCCTATTGACCTTGCTTGAGGAAAGCCAGCAGGGAATGTTGGAAATCGTGATTGCCGAGGTAGAAATCACACTACTGTGGATATGCTGTGACAGCTGGAATTCCAAGGACCAGTTGGAGGCACTTGTTCAGCACTGTGGCAAATTTGAACAGACACTGAATGAATGGTCATTAAATGAGGACCACCCATAAAACCAAATAGAATAAAGAGAGATCTGAAAAGATCTGTTTAGGCTGATGTTTACATAAGATAACTCAAGTGGCCACAGGCCATTCCAATTCTAAATGTTTTTTTTTATTTTCATAGTAATGTCAACTAGTTCATTTATATGTATATAAAAATATACATATATTTTGATTGCCGTTTTAATGTCCCTGTACTTTCTACATAGGAAAATACATTGATTTGGGTTTTCTCCATTAATTTCTAATCCACCAAGCAATGCAAGGGGGCTGACCCTGGAACAAGTGCTATATCCAACTTAATTTTAAGGAAAGGAAATGTGATTATTTTGATATTTATAGTCACTCTTTTCTTTTTATACTGGAGTTCCCTGTCTTGCAACTATGAATTATTTTAGACCTGTTATACCCACATTTTAATGGAACTACTCATAAACTTATGCTCTTCCATAAAGGGGTGGAAAGGGGCATAAATAAGGCTCCTCAACTTTGATAATTATAGTAACATTTTAACTAGGCATAACGGAACTAATCTGTAGTTAAATCTACAATCTTAAAACTGCAGTAACTTTGGGCAATCAATCTAAATGTACCATTTTAATTCTACCTTAGGTCCAGATAACTATAAGAAGATTATTGGTACACTTTCATTGGGAGGTAACCATTTCCATCAGCAGTAAATACATCCTGGAGCTAGAACTGCCAAGCTGTAAGATATAGAAAATAGATTTTTTCTGAATTCTAAATGATGATTCTCAGACTCCGCTGCCTTTCTTTTCATGATAGTTTCTTCCTTTGAAGCTAGCCTCCATATGCACACCCCTCTAATTAGCAAAACATAAAAAATATACAATATAAAACAACTTATATTTTTCCACACATTGATAAAATGTGTCTTATTGTAACATTAGAACCTATTCTCCTTCTAGAAGTGGTTAGCAATGGACCTTAACCTACGTGCTGATAATTCCCCTCTCCCCCTCGCCCCCTCCCCAAGCTCTGTGGTTTGCAAAACTAAATCATACTGAAGTCATTGATTACACTGAGCCTATAATAGAAATTGAGCAACATTCAATCCATGATCTATTAGCCTCCCTCTCCACCAATCTCCTTTACACAGGCAGGCATTGCATCACCCTAGCCAAATTGATTAGGTCAAAATAGAGTCCTTAATTAATGAGAAGTCAGGGCTTGTCAACATGAAATCCATTAAAGACCAGTTCAGTTTTAATTTCAGTCAGGCACTGTTGGGCAGCCTTTGAGGAGTCATTAGCATTAGTGATCTATAGCCTGTTTTCTGTCTGGCTTCCTTGAACCCAGCCCCGGTTCTGTTGTTGTTGTTTTTACCTACAGTAAATATCGGCATTTTAGACCGAGTACTGAAAAATGGGAGACTTTCTGGATGAAGGGCCAAATCAAGCTAAAGTGCAAGATGCAACTCTGCTGCTTTGAGAGAGCTGCGCCAGGGATTATTTTCAGCTCTCGGTCTTATTTTATGTACAGCAGCTGGAAATCAACAGAGAGGACAAATATGCAAAGACCAACTTCTTGTGGCACATCCTAATAAATAAAAATAAAATGCGTGCTTCAAAGCCCTGGATATTTCCTTTACTTCCAACCATCTGATATACACATTTGTGGATGAGCAGAAAAGGATGGAGGTGATTGGGATGCTACACACAAAAAAAGGTGAACTATAGGAAAATGTTTTTCCCAGATGAAGCATCCATTCTGATAGGATAGTTCCAATTTTTAGTTCCAGTTTTAACATACCCAGTTAATTTCTCCTAATATTATATCGAGGGGTTGCACTGGCTTGCGAGAGCCATTTGCTACATTTTCTGGAATTTTGCCAGCCAGTCAAAAGCGTGGCTCAGTCACTGCACCTTAGTGTGCCCATCAGTTGTTCTACAGCAGTGTTTCTCAACCTTGACAATTTTAAGGCATGTGGACTTCAGCTCCCAGTGTTGCTGGCTGTGGAATTCTGGGAATTGAAGTCCACAAGCCTTAAAATTGTCAAGGTTGAGAAACACTGTTCTACAGCTAGTGGCATCAGAGCAACAATGGAACCAGCAGAGCCAGTTCTGAAACATCTATCAGCACGCCACTGGTTATAACTGGCAAAAAGCCAGCTTTCTGTGCACATATTCCTAGGAATAAAAAAGGGGAAAGGCTAAAACAACAAATGAGACCAGTCCAGATCTTGAATATAGTGCATTGGGTTCAATGTGTAATCAGGACTTGGGCCAGAATCAGAGCCAAAGGTTGCATGCCATACACTAGGCCACAAAACAGTTGCAGTTGGCAGGACCCGTCTCTCCAGCATCACAGCTGCAATAAGCAAGAATGCAGTACCGGAAGCGATGGGTACTGATATTCCTAGGCGGAACAGGAAAATCCATGTTGTCTGCCAGTGTTACCTCATTCTGTTTTCCAGTTCAAACAAGTCATTTTATCAGGACCAGTTTGCATGTTCAACCCTACCGTTCTGTTTGGCTGTTTCGTAATCCTCCTTGCACACCAGGCGCCCATCTTCCATGAGATAGAACTCATCCCCTGTGGCAAGTTGGCGGTTGCAGATAATGCAGGCAAAGCAATGGAGATGATAGACGAAATCCTGGGCTTTTCTGACCACTTGGGTGGGTGGGATTCCCTGTTGGCATGCTGTGCATTTTGTACCAAAACGCCTGCAAAAGAGAAAGAAAAAAAAATGCTAATGCCTAGAAGCAGAACAGGGTATATGCAACATCGGAAAAAAAAAACCCACAATTATGAGAACAGATACTGATTCAGATTTCTAGGGAAATTTTTACTTTCATATTTTAACAATAAATGTCTGTTCTTCTGACTCTACAAATAACCCCAAAGTAGGTGGGTATGCCTCTGTAATCCACAAAAATCAAGTATTTCTGAACAAGTTTTCAGTGACCAAAGATATTACTTAAAGTCCATGTGTAACAAACTTTTCCTTACAATGACTACCAAACTCAGAATGAACTGTACGTAAGTCATTAATCCAAAGACTTGATCTTGAATTTCTAGATGCAGAATTATCTAAGCTTAAGTATTGTTTAATTGTAGAATATAAACATCTCTTCTTGTTGCAGAAATGCACAGAGAATTTCCTAGCAAGAAACTCTGAAAAAGGTGGCCTTTCCAAAGGAAGCAGAGGAAAGTGCAGAATTGAAAGCAGCAGCCAACCCAATCATGCATGACATTTCACACAGAAGGTCTTTATCTTCTTCAGTGTAAAGCGATTGGGCTAATTGAAGGGTAGAGTTTGATGGTCCTTTTAACTAAAGCTAGGGCAGGCTGTACAATTACCCCCATAAGGACGTATTTCATCCACATTAGTTCTAAATAAATTACTTGTAGTCATTGCCGGTAAGGTAAATACAAGATTAATTTAAAGTGATAGAATCTGCAGGCTGCAATAACAGTGGCACCCACACACCAGCTGAAAACCCGTCCCTAGGAATGTCTTAGCAAATGTCCTAAAATAAGAAACATGCCTAGCACTGTCCTTTATTAAAGCAAGCCCTCATCTATACTTTACGATAAAGCTACAAATTATGGATGACCAAGCAGAGCTGGCTGAATTTTCACACCACTTTTCTTTCCACAAGTAGTTTAAGCCTCCCTTTAGTCAGCACCAGACAGTTTCCCCAGCGGAGTGGAAGGCTCCGACCCAAAAGAACAATTTTGCTGGACTAAAAATGATCTTATGACAATCAACGGGCTCTTGTGGCAAAAACAGATTCCATAGATGTATTTACTTATTTATTTAAGTGGTTGTTTTCAGTCTCTTTTCTAATAATGCCAAATACAGCGTTTGACATTTCACTGCTATTGCATGCCAAGCTGATATAGATACTGACATGATTTGAATTTTAGCCATTGTTTTTCTTTCCCCATTTGCCTTCCATTTTTAAGCCTTGCAACTTAAAAAAAAGAGAGATCTTTAGAATGTGAAAGCATGTATAATTTTCTTCTACCATTTGTAAGTTACAAGAGCACTGAAAAAAGGGACTAATGACCATTTTTCAAATTTACAACTGTAGCAGCATCCCCAGGGTCACGTGATCAAACTTGGCGATGGGCACTGAATTTATGACTGTTGCAGTGTCCTGGGGTCATGTGATCCCCTTTTGAGTCAAATGTCAAAGTCACTTAACAATCATGTTACTCACTTAACAACTGCAGCGATTCACTTAACAACTGTGGCAAGAAAGGTCGTAAAATGGGGCAAAATTTAGTTAACAACTGCCTTGCTTAGCAATGGAAATTTTGGGGCTCAATTGTAGGACTACCTGTATGGACTTTGGATTCCCCTGCCCCTTCCCCTCCTGTTGCCAAAAGAAATGCCTTGGCTACTTTTATTAAACTCCATCTGTCTTTCAATGTTAATCTCTGCCAATGCTCCAGATCCCCTCCACAGAGGTATTCCCAGGGGGAGTTGGGGGAGGAATTGTGAAAACAACGGAGACCCATGACACAAGCTCCACTCTTTTGTTATGCGTTAAGATGTCCTATGCACATGTACAAAAGAGACGGAACCTGCGTTGTGGCTGTGCAATGTTGCCTCTGTTGTGCTGATCAAAGCACTGGATCCTGCCAACACCTCTGGCTATCAGCTTTACTGTGGAGTTAGGACTTCTTCGTAGCATGTATCTCTTTACTTGTAGAGAAAGATTCATTCAACTATTAACTTGCTCCATTTTTAAAGGATTACCTAAGCTTTGTTGTTATACATTTTGGAAGTAGCAAAAAAGATGCCCCTGTCCTCAGGCTGTGTTATTTAAGGATGAAGTATTTTTTTTTAAAAAAAGATTGTTTTGAAAATTCAGGTTTTTCTGCTAGGTAAATATCAAAACTCCCAACATTATTTACATTAGTTTTGTAAGTAATGAATAAATTCAACAACTAGCTGGATCTAAAAATTAGAAGAAGGAACTTTGCTTTTCTTTAACCCAAATTCTATACTGAACTGGAACTTTAAGTGTTAGTCTTTCTGGATCATAGTAATTGGAAGAGATGCATTTGTATTGTACAATACTTATCCTGAGATATTAGGACCAACACTATGGAAACCTAAATTCAAGTTCATTTAGTCATGGTATCTCATAAGAGCTGAACACTATTTCTTACCTCCCAACCTACCTCAAAGTATTGCTGTTGTGGGAATAATATTGTAAAAAGGAGTATTATATATGTTGCCTTCACACCCTAGAGGAAAGATACAATCTAGCAAATGAATAATACATTTAACTGCAATGTATTAAGCCACATAATGCATCTGAAGCTATATCAATTGGAGGAAATGCTATGCTATGATGCATAAATATACCTGCCTGTAAGAATTACAAAATCTTGAGTGAGCCCTATTATTCAGAAAAGTCCACCTTGAAATAGTTCCAAGCCTTGTACAGAAACTGGCCATTGGATATTAACATAAGAATTAATCCCAACTGAAAAATATCATTCTCAGGTTAAAAGTTCACTTATTTATTTATTTTTAACTGTCCTTTTAGCCTTCTAAGAGAGCACACAGATTAAGCTGGTTTACTGTGATTAAAAAAAAGTATGAGTGGAGGAAAATTCCAGTTCAGTTGTAAAAACATACACTGTTTTGTATGTTGTCAAACAGCAATATGAGAATAAGAAAACTACTTGCCTTACAGGAATGTTACAGGGGTTATTAAACTTACGTATGCTTACTCTTTAGAATGCTCTGAATAACTATGTATCTTAAGAACAAAATCATTGTAGTGATCTACAATACAAAATCAAAAACAAAGCAAGCTTCAAACTACTGTTGACATAAAATATATCAAATTCTTCATCAATCAGAATATTTAAATCCAGAAAAATCAGCCACAATATTTCCCAAACTAAATAATACAATCAGGAACACTTTCTTTCAGATAGCCCCTAGATAACAATTCTCCTTAAATTTTAACTGTTTTTTATTGCATATTCAGTTTTCAATTGCTCAAGAGACCAACTTCCAGATTTTTCACTACCCACCCTTCACCCTGGTTGGAACTGCAACCAGCACAGTTTGCTTCATCCCCAGGGTAAATGTGTTTGCTGCTAAGTACATTAGATTTTCTAGTTCCACATGATGCACCATGGTTTCCAGACCAAATACAAAGCTGGTTCAACATTACATGCAGTCTAATATGTAGTTGCCAAATGTATGAACTACAAAAGATAATCAGATATTTGTTACTATAATAGTCACTTAGCTGTATAATGTCAGTTGTGAATCTAGAAGTATTCTCAAAATACACAGCTATACTTTAAGAGAATACCATCCATACTGAGAATAAGACAGCTCCTTGAATATACCTACCCACAGAACCACTGCACAATTATCCACTCCCAGTTTACTTAGAGGATTTGCTAATATTTGGAATCATCTCTGCCAGCATAAGTATCCATGGAGAGACAAGGAGATAGCTGACAGTACACCCATGACTGTGCCATCTTGCAAATGCTATGACTTGCATACTTACATCAGATGTTAGGAATGTAAGGATGTGAAGGCAGAGGTTGTATTGTGACATCACTGAATGTGTGGTATTATGCTTCCATCATCATAGTTTACATCAAATAGTACTTACCTGGTACTATTTGACATAAACACCAGGAAGGGTATTTTTCAAGAGTGGATACATCACCATCTTCTTCATGGAACTGACCACTATAAATCCATGTGCAAAAATGCAATTTCTACTGCCTGGACCACTCAATCAGCCTCACCTCAGCTAAAACAAACATTTCCAATGGACAATATGGCTTCTGGACGAATAAAAAAGGGCAGGGGCTGCTACTGTATAGAAAAGGCACGTTTCCTAATTCCCAATAGATGGCAACATTTAAGAGATGGGACTTAAACAGTACTCATTCTCTCTAGCCCGGTGGAGTGGTCAGATACATTCAGAGGAAAAATAATCTGCCTTTATATTATGTAAACAGCAGCTTGAACTTCACCCAGAAGGAATCTGGGAGCTAGAGCTACTTAAGCAGCAGTAGTGTAACATGGTAAGGTGCCCAGCACTGCTCTGAATTCCACATTCTGTACCAGTTGTATCTTCTGGATGGTCTTCAATGCTGACCTCTTCAATATAATTTGAAAATCTGTCATAACAGATCTCTAAGGACTTCAACCCAGGAATTATCAGAGGAGATAACAACACTTGTTATATGTCTTGGAGAAACACCTAAATAAGAATACAATGGAGAAACAGTCCTTTTCATTACCCTCAATGCCCATAAGAGATGTGCCTAATACTTGTCTGACTGCTTTCATGATAAAATGTTATGTTTCATTACTAAAATATGGCCATCTTCCACCCTTTTCATGACAGAGATTTCCTCTACTCCCAAATTAGGGAACAGAAGCAACTAAGCGTAGCTATGTTCATAGCCTACTATACTCACCTTAATAAGTGTGCTGAACAAATTGCTTCTTATTATTGGAAATTCCACCAGAACATTCCATCAAATGTTAATCTAAAAGCAAATGATGTAATAGGCCTTATTTTAAAGGAAGCCACTGATACTTCACCATGTTCACCAACTTTAGTCTTTAATATATCTAGGTTTCTACCTCCTCACAGCTTACAGAAAAAGACTAACCCAAAGTATATTCTGGTCTGTGCACTGGTCTGAGGACAAATTG